CCCCCCCCCCACCCCACCCAGTACGCCCATGATTTTAAGCGATTTTAGGTGATTTAAAGCGATTTTAGGCGATTTAAGAGAAATTTGACCATTTTAACCCGCGATTTAATGCGATTTTGGGCGATTTTAGGCGATTTAAGGCGATTTACCGCCCCAGAGTAGGCCTATCTTAAAACACAAGAGGCAGAGTTGCCAAACATTTCTACCGAGCGTTTTAAAAATAGTTTCATCAATAGATGTATATTTAGATGTAATTTAGCTTTGCAATTTTAATATAACCTAAAAAATTTTAATGTTATAAATAAACTTGTAATATATTTTAAAAAAATTTGTTTTTGTAACACTTGATATGTAATTCATCAATTGACTAAATAATAATGATAATAATGGAAACTTTTTACTAGATATTTAGGATATGCTATATATACATTGATAAACCTCACTCAATAAAAGGTAGCTTATCGATGTCCACCTGAATTGAATATAAAATTAAAATATATATACAGGTGAAAATCTTTTAAATTTAGTTAAAAGTTTAAAAGTTCCGGGTTGTTCCAGTCTTTGTTTCGTCTACAGAATATATAATAAGACGTGCGAATACAAGTAGCAATTATTTTCTTTTTTACATATTTAATACGTTGTTCGTCGTACTTCAGATCATGGAGCATATCAAATAAAGTATTCGTCGATTCACCAAATACACCTAAAGAGCTTATAGATGCATTAACAAACTTCACTTCATCATATATGTTTTCTTGATCGGTAATTAGAGTCAAATATTTTTCATGTTTTCGATCAGAGTTAGTTTTCAGGTTTGTTTCGAATCCAACAGTTAATTATAGAATGTACAAAATCTTATTTTCAATTGTCAATAGAAGGTCTGGTCGTAACTCGTCACCAGTGATGACAGATGGGCTAATAAATCCAGGCAGATCTACATACATTTTCGACCTTCCGACGTCGAGAAGGCTGGACGCAATGAGATTCAAAACTGAATCATGTCGCCATGTATATCTCCCTTCGTTTAGATATGTCTTACATCCAGAGATTACGTGCAAAAGCGATTCAGGGCAGAAGCAGAACGAACAGTCAGCAGACGATGACTAGACCCCATTTAACTAGGTTTTTCCTAGTAGGCAAAGAATTGTTGATGTAACGTAGACTGAACTTAAATATGTTCCTAGGAAGTTTTGAATGAACCGATGACCATAGGGAATTGAATGCCAACGTGGAGTTTTTCAAGATGTTTGAGAAAAGAGAACCTAATATAATAATAATAATAATAATAATAATAATAATAATAATAATGGAAACTTTTTATTAGATATTTACGATATACTATATATACATTGATAAACCTCACTTAATAAAAGGTAGCTTATCGATGTCCACTTGAATTGAATTTAAAGCTAAAATATATATACAGGTGAAAATCTTTTAAATTTAGTTAAAAGTTTAAAAGTTCCGGGTTGTTCCAGTCTTTGTTTCGTCTACAGAATATATAATAAGACGTGCGAACACAAGTAGCAATTATTTTCTTTTTTACATATTTAATACGTTGTTCGTCGTACTTCAGATCATGGAGCATATCAAATAAAGTATTCGTCGATTCACCAAATACACCTAAAGAGCTTATAGATACATTAACAAACTTCACTCCATCATATATGTTTTCTTGATCGGTAATTAGAGTCAAATATTTTTCATGTTTTCGATCAGAGTTAGTTTTCAGGTTTGTTTCGAATCCAACAGTTAATTATAGAATCTTATTTTCAATTGTCAATAGAAGGTCTGGTCGTAACTCGTCACCAGTGATGACAGATGGGCTAATAAATCCAGGAAGATCTACATACATTTTCGACCTTCCGACGTCGAGAAGGCTGGACGCAATGAGATTCAAAACTGAATCATGTCGCCATGTATATCTCCCTTCGTTTAGATATGTCTTACATCCAGAGATTACGTGCAAAAGCGATTCAGCGCAGAAGCAGAACGAACAGTCAGCAGACGATGACTAGACCCCATTTAACTAGGTTTTTCCTAGTAGGCAAAGAATTGTTGATGTAACGTAGACTGAACTTAAATATGTTCCTAGGAAGTTTTGAATGAACCGATGACCATAGGGAATTGAATGCCAACGTGGAGTTTTTCACGATGTTTGAGAAAAAAGGACCTTGTGACATTAGGTTATTTTGTAGTCGCTGTTCAGTTTTTTGTCTAAATGCCTTTAATACGTCTTTTGTGTTTGAGTAAATGTCGTACTGAATGTTCCTATTGGTGCTTGGTATTGACCATAATTCACGTATGTTTTCATTGATCAATGACTTTAAAGCTGAGCGTGAGACAGTTTGGCACTGTATAAATTTCGTTGAAGGTAGAATGTCATTTAAACCAAATTTGTTGTAAGGGAGATAGACATTGCTTAGAGTTGCAGATATTGGCAGTTCTAGCCATTTTCGTATATATTTAGTAGCGATACCGTCCAAAGTCTCGCAAACCCATGTTTGAGATATATCAGTTATCGTGAAGTCCCATGAGATTTTCGAGTAGCGACTGTATAGCAGGATTTTATTTTGTGCGTGCAAATGTAATTAATTTATTTTAGATATAATATTATTAAACAAGTCACATATATCCGAATGGTGTTTTTCATCTGACATGTTGAAATTAAAATAACGACCAAGGTAGCAAAAAGATTCACCAGTTTCGGTACGGGGTACAAGTAGGTGGTTAATAAACAATTTAGGTTGATATTGAACAGATTTAGATGAGTGTTTTTTAATTCCGAACGTAGAGCATTTATCAACACGTATAATCATATTGGCCCATTGACACCATACCGAGAAGCGATTGAGTAGAATTTGATTTTCTTTTTCTTGGCTACTAATGACAGCCGCGTCATTTGCAAACTGGAACCAATGAATTGGATTACACGGAATACCAGTTTTATTAAATTTCCAAAAACCAAGCTGGAGGAATGATTCAGATTTAATTTGTTGTACGAAGGTATTAATAAAAGGACATATTGAAAAGGAGTGGACTAAGGCAGTCACCTTGTAAAACGCCACGGCCGACGGTAATGAAAGGGGCACTGAATTTTTCAGTTATAATAGATGTTTGGAAGTTAGTATAAAGACTCCGGATTAGTTCATTTATAGGATCGGGTATATGATGATATTGAAGAACTTTGTAAATAAGGTTGTGATGTAGTTCACCGAATGCATTCTTCAGATCGAGTAAAGTGATTACAAGTGACCTTTGTTTTATACGGGCTGTGTTGATTATGTGCGCCATATGGGCTGTATGTTCAACAGTTCCTGCAACGTTTGGGGTAAAACCTTTCTGGATGTCATGTTCTATGTAATTGTTTTCAGATAGGAAAGCGAAAATTTTGTTACGAAGACACGACGTAAAAACTTTGAGCGGAACATATTCTAGAGTTATTGGTCTGAAGTTAGAGGGATTGTCAGTTTCGTCTTTTTTGTGAATCAATATCGTGCACGCTTTTTTCCATTCTGATGGAGCAATACCAGATGACCAGGCAACATGGATAATTTCAGTTAAATAAGTACGTAGATATGGGCTGCGTTTAAGACAGATAACAGATATTTGGTCGAGAGGGCACGGTGAGCCAGACGGTTTCATCTTTCGAATGACATTTGTAATCTCATTATAGGTCGCAGGGTCAAGATTAAATGGTGTTGTTGGGGAATTAAACTTGGGAATCCAGCTAGGAATGTTGAATGTTTTATTTGGAATAACTGCGGAAAGTGTCTTAGTAAAGTAAGCTGAACATTGGGCAAGACCAAATGTTGGAAACGATTGTGTTTTTTTCTTGAGAAATTTTTTAACGTAACCCGAGAAATTATTATTGAATAACTTGTCGTGGTCAATGTTATCTGACGCGTTGACATCAGCATGTTGTAGGTCGGTGTTATTTTTACTAAGATGGCAACGCAGCTTTTTGGCAACAAATTTGATTTCTTTCAGATCACCGTTTTCGCACATTAATTTTTTAAATACTTTTTTAAGCTCCTTAGCGGAACATAACTTATACTTTGATTCAAATTCGTTGTTATTGTTGGCGTCAACAAATCCATAATTATCACTGAAGTAATTGTATATCACTGTTGCCATGGTATTGATACTTTTATTGATTTCTTGGGTTGTGACTGGGTAATTTGAAAGAGCGAGTTGAAAAAGTCGTTAGCAGTAGACCATTGTAATGGCGATTTTGGCAATTTTATTCCTTTCTTTAAATCAGGAAAGATTTCTTGGGCGTTTAGACTCGGAACTGCATCCTCTTCTGATTGAACATTGTCGTCCCATATTTGTTCATTTAAAGCATCAGTCATTTGTTGTTGTAATTCCTCCTCCATGTCATCAATTTTATGAAGGATGCGATTTTCGTTTCTTTGATTATATTAAAACATAATTAGGTCTACAGACAGGTCTACATTTTTTACACACAAAAAACATCTAACAATAACAATCCCAATATTTTACGTTAACCCTATAATCACGTGGTTAACTTGCGTCATCTATATGTCATATTCATGCATATGATTAACCATGCAAGGAGTTCAATCTCCATGACAACAAAACTGTTAATATGTAATAGAAATAGAAAGAATAAAATATCCCGTTCATGACACTCCCCAATGTTTATTCACTGAATCAGTGAAGTGATAAACGTTCGTAACGTAACTATGGAAATATATGATAACGAATCTTAAATGTATCAATTTTCGCTAAAGCATCGGTCCGTCCCTTCTTTTCATTTCACCAACAACCGCTTCGACTTCGTCCTTCGGCGGTTTCATCACCTGCTGCATCTTTCTCAGCTACCGCTTCATCTTTGTTTGAAACGATTTCTGGTTGGCTTGATTTTACTTCGATCGGTACCAGCAGTTCGATTAGTCGTCTTGTCGTGCTTGCGCTGCCACCTCCAAGCTTAATAACCGCTGATCTAATCTTGCCGTCCTTCCCTGGGAGTAACTGTTCTACTCGTGCAAGTCTCCAAAACGCTCTTGGTGTCGTCTCGTTTTTTACGATAACAACGTTCCCTTTGGAAATGGAGGAACCCGAGCCGTTAGCTTTCGACTTCACGGACGCTTGCTCGCGCAAATTAGTAAGGTACTCTCTTCGCCATTGCTTCGTGACTTGCTCCAACAAGTGCTTGTGGTGTCGAGCTCTTCGAGTTAGCGACCGATTAGTGCTCACGACTTCGTGATGCGAACTGTTTGGGCTCGTAGTTATACGTCGACCATAAATGATGATGATGATGATAAACTTTATTTAACCACGCTAACATTGTCAGCAGAAGCTGGTTTCCACAATGGGCGTGTAAAAAACATTAACAAATTGTTACAAGTAAAATAATAAGGAAGTATTAACATGCAGAATATAAAATTATTAAAATATATACAAAAAGTTTGCTATTTACAATGATGTGGTTTTCTTTATAAGCTATAGGTAGCGATTTTTCTTTTAAAACTTGAGAGCGAATTACTTTCTCTTATATTTTTTGGAAGAGAGTTCCATATGGAAGCTCCATCATACATGAAACTCTTTTTCATATTGTTTGTGTTTGGCTTGGGCAAACGTATGGTACTTGAGCTGTTACGAAGACTGCGGTTTAATATTTCTTTTTTGAAAGTAAATAATTCTTTGAGACAATTTGGCCCCATGTTATTTAGCGTTTTAAACATTATTTTTGCCTTTGCTTTCACTCTTTGTTCCTTGAGTGGTTCCCATTCTAATATATTTAGCACAGTTTGTTGATCTACCTCATTAGGCACACATGCTATTACACGAGCAGCTCTGTTATGAAGTTTTTGGAGACGCGTGGATTGCGTTTCACCAAATATAATCCAAACTTCACAACAGTAGCTAAAGTATGGTTGAATTATAGCATTGTATACGGAAACGAGTGTTTTTTGATCAACATATTCTTTAATGCTTTTAAGAGCGTATATTCCAGATGATATCTTTTTACATATATTATCTGTATTGCTCTTCCAACACAAATTTTCATCAACAGTCACACCTAGTGTTTTACATTGAAAAACCTGCTTTATGGGTATGTTTTGAATGTGAA